CTTATTCCATATTAATAAAGACGTTTGTTTTACATAATGTTGTTTTATGTTTTATAGTCAAACATTCCTACAAATGACCTCTGTATGTATGTATGTAGAAGTACCACATTTACTACATAGGAATAATACTGTAGTGTCCTTGAATTACTAAGTTACAGCTGTATCTAGAATTATCACAATAAGTACCTAGAAGTACCACTGTAAGTACCACAATAAGTACCTCTAAGTACCACAATAAGTACCACTGTAAGTACCTAGAAGTACCACTGTAAGTACCACAATAAGTACCTAGAAGTACCACTGTAAGTACCACTGTAAGTACCACTGTAAGTACCTAGAAGTACCACTGTAAGTACCACTGTAAGTACCACTGTAAGTACCACTGTAAGTACCACCGTAAGTACCACCGTAAGTACCACCGTAAGTACCACGGTAAGTACCACCGTAAGTACCACCGTAAGTACCACCGTAAGTACCACCGTAAGTACCACCGTAAGTACCACCGTAAGTACCACCGTAAGTACCACCGTAAGTACCACGGTAAGTACCACCGTAAGTACCACCGTAAGTACCACCGTAAGTACCACCGTAAGTACCACTGTAAGTACCACTGTAAGTACCACCGTAAGTACCACCGTAAGTACCACCGTAAGTACCACCGTAAGTACCACTGTAAGTACCACCGTAAGTACCACCGTAAGTACCACCGTAAGTACCACCGTAAGTACCACCGTAAGTACCACTGTAAGTACCACCGTAAGTACCACTGTAAGTACCACCGTAAGTACCACCGTAAGTACCGCTGTAAGTACCACTGTAAGTACCACCGTAAGTACCACCGTAAGTACCACCGTAAGTACCACTGTAAGTACCACTGTAAGTACCACTGTAAGTACCACCGTAAGTACCACCGTAAGTACCACTGTAAGTACCACCGTAAGTACCACTGTAAGTACCACCGTAAGTACCACTGTAAGTACCACCGTAAGTACCACCGTAAGTACCACCGTAAGTACCACCGTAAGTACCACTGTAAGTACCACCGTAAGTACCACTGTAAGTACCACTGTAAGTACCACTGTAAGTACCTAGAAGTACCACTGTAAGTACCATGGACTTACCGGCCCGTAATGTAAAGTGTTACCCACACTTGTTGTGTAATCCACAAATCTTTGGTGTTGTAGCCTGGGCTAGCCTATCTCTATATTCAAGGCTAGGCTTAAAATAGTCCTCTTCAGTTTAGCATATGGTTTGGAAGGTAAGACTTAATTTTAGATCAAGTTTTTGTGAAACAAGGAAGAGAATTTGTCTCGGGACCAGATTGTAACCAATCACAACGGACCACTGGCCTCCACTTTCTTGAGAAAAGCCACAGGTCTCTTGTTAGCACAGGCAAATGAGGTAAACAAGCGGCGGAGGCTGACCTGAAGCTTCCCGTGTCTTCGTTACGGGTTACTGCTTGCACAGCGAAACAGCCATCCAAAAGAAAGTCTTGTCCTCTCCGCGCTTCCCGGTTCTATTATTCTATGGTCACGCCGTCCACGTTCAAATGTGCATCCATATTGTGAGACGTGAGTTCCATATACAAATAGCTAGCAAGTGAGCTGAGGGGGAGGGGGGTGGTGGGTAAGCTATCAAGAGCCAGATTGATGATTGTGTAGAACTCTTTGTTCTCCACAAAATCAATCTGGGACATCTGCAGGAGAATCCTTTCGGGGAAAGGAGGAATAGGCAGCAGAATACTTCAAGCTGATTGGGCGAAGTGACGCTGTGTGCCCGCCTACCAAGGTTTGACTTAAACCAATCCCGGTAACATCTTTGCCGTCCAGAAATTCACAAAGCGCCTCTCGCTGTTCATCTTTCAAAAAAGAAATAGGAGATTCTGCTAAAACTGACTTGGTAGCCTCAGCTACGCGTCCGTCCTCCTGCATAGCCATGTTTGTTTTGCTTCGGCCCGGCACATCTTGCTTTCGTCAAACCCGGATATCCCGCCCTAAACCCCCAGACTGGCGCGTGATTGGCTTGAACACCTAGATGTAATTTAAGTTATCATTTTGGTAAATCATATGTGACTATATGCTGAATGCGCTATTCTGTAATTCACTTCAGCTCCAGCAAAACTCCACGAGGTCTGGGGAGCTCATATGTTAAACACAGCATTCTTTGTTTACGCTAATACAGAGTGTCTTTTGTTGTGTGGGTTCTTCCTTTCCCATCTGCATACGAAGGTGTGTCTTGTTCAACCAAAAGGGGCTTGCCATCTGTGAATCATCAGACTTGTCCTGAGAGAGGCTGGGGTCTGTGCCTTGCCTCTGTCAAGACATTCTCCTTGTACAATGTAACAAGTAAAAGATTAACTTTGTCTCTTTGTTGTGTGAGATTTCATCAGGTTCAACTGTGGTTGAAACAGCATTATCACTCTACTCGAAAAGGGTTCGCGGGAGCGGGGCAAGATGTATTCTCGAGTGTTTGTGAACTCAAAAATACCGCGAGAATTCAGCTTGCAGGCAAGGTTAGGTGGTGGGGGGCGAAAGCTCCATGCGGGGAGGGGGAGCAGAGAGAGCGAGCTTACCGCTCACTTTCGAACATCTCTCAATGTGTAGCTTTAACTGTTGACTGTTGGTGATTTCAATGGTTTTGTTAAGTTCTCTTAGATGACTGCTGTTGTGATTTAGGGCTATACAAAAATAAGTTGTTGTTGTTGATGTGTGAAGTGTTTTAGTGTGACAGTTCACCGCGCTTTTCTAATCTTTAAAAACATGTTCAATGTTGTGCTTTAAAGAGTTAAAAACTAAAATGTTACGATAAATGCTAAGGCACAATCTGTCAAATCATCTTTTCCTGATCTGACACAGGGCTTACAAAAGAGGTGCTCTCTCTGATCTTGATCTGCTTTCTCTCGTCTTTCTTTGGTGTCTCTCTCTGGTCTCAGAGTCCAAAACGGCACCATCCATGCAGAGGTCCTTTCATTCACAAAGCGATTGTTCACAGTTTTCAATTTCCTTTCTCAGCATTTTGCCATGACCCGTTAAAAAGAGAATGACTGTAGGACATGCTCATTCTAACCAATGTAAATGAACTCACCACTGCTGAAGTGCGATCGCAGAGATATCAAACCTGTTGGTTGTAGGTTTGAGCTGGTGCAGCTGTCAAAAGCCGTGCATACCCTGCACGGCTTTAGAGAAGCCCCATAGAGATAAATCAGAAAGAGCCACAACGTCTTCTTCTGATTTTAAATAGAGGTAACTGCCATGTTATACGAGCATTTACATGATGTTGTCGAAGATGCACGTGGGGCATGAGAGGCACCCAAAGAAATCGGGAGATCACCGTCCAAGCTGCCATTTGTTCAACCCATCCCCGGCCGTTTGTAATTGGTCCCCAAATCTATGCAAAAATCTTGGCTCGAGTTTCCTGCCTGTTGTGCCAGAGAAATGATTTGAGCTCTGATTTGATCGGCCCATGAATACCTTTTGAATCCTGCTGATAGTGAAGTGCCAGTCTGCACCACACACACACCTTGTTAGTAGTATCCTTTTTAGTCGTATCACTGTTAGTAGTATTTTTTAGGGAACCTCAATAATACTTGCCGACCCTCACTCTCCTCTTTCTTTCTCACAGGACACATTCAGAACTCCTCTCCTGTCACTACTGCACAGACAGCTGTCAACCTGATGGTTTTGGGGCTCAGGCGGCGTGTGCTGCTGCTGTAGAAAGAGGAAAATAGACGTTTTGTTAAGTAAAATTTTGTCACCACCACTTGGGCAGAGATGTGACAGGACTCTCGTGCTGGGGAGAGGCTACTCACAGTGTTTGTAAGTAACGGGAAAACAATAACCCCTCACTGTTATCCAATTACCTTTTCTGAGTAATGAGTAAAGTAAGGGATTACATCTGCAAAAAAAGGATTGTACTTTCTTCTAAGCAAGCAGCGTTACAAAACCGTGAGTTACTTGGTTGTCCAATTACCTTTTCTGAGTAATGAGTAAAGTAAGGGATTACATCTGCAAAAAAAGGATTGTACTTTCTTCTAAGCAAGCAGCGTTACAAAACCGTGAGTTACTTGGTTGTGACTTTTGTTGTCTCCTCATGAGTGACAAAGAGATGACATATGAGAGGTGCGACTGTCAGTCGTCAATGTGTTTGAATATGGTTTTATGTTTTTATACTTTTATGCATGTTGTGTGTTTTTAATATGTTTAAACTGGCACCACCCAAAGCACCCAAGCTTCCCACGTGACAGCAGACAATAAGAATTCCTGTGCGATGGCGAGGGGGATGAGGAAGCCGGAGAACGGGACACAGGGGTGAAGAAAGCCCCGTGGTCTGGCGGCCCAGGCCGGACATGATTTTAGCCTCTATTCTTTAGCCTTCTTTTATTCCAGTTTTTAACCTGCAATTTTTAGTTTTTTTTTTTATTTCATTTGTTTTTATGAATTTCATTATAAACCATCATTTAAACTTGTTTTTAATTCAGCTGTCATTTTAAACCCGGGTCAAACAATTGTTTTCCTACATCCAACCCGACCACTACGACGCGATTAACCGACAGAATCAATTTGCAACGGGGAAACCTCCGATGGTCAACCTGCTGCTAAACAAGTGAAAATAGATGTAAAAGCAACAGAACTTACTGCAGCTGAATTAAAGGCGTTTTTTGCTGGCTTATGTTGTTGAGGGTTGTTTCCCACATTCCCTGTAGACTCTAAAGCATTCCCAGGCATCGTAGACCAATTTCCGGTCAAAAGCAATGTCAAGCCGCTGCACAAAAAGCCATTTGCTGACGTTCTTGACAGAGAATATGAGCTAATGATCGCCACATTCAAGGCTGCGCTCGCGGAAATTGACTTTGTTTCCACAATGGCTGATATCTGGACATTAAATAATAAAAGTTTCATGGATCGGAGCAGAGATTGAAGAAATCCATTCAAGCAAAGTTATTGCTACTGTGATCGATAATTTTTTGTATGTCAACCATGTAATGTGAAGTCTGCATGAGAATGGAGGTGATGAGACAGAAGGTGATGATGATGAATCTGTTTTCACAGACCTTATAGATGCTCTTTCAAACACAGGTGGTGATGGACCGTTAAGCCTTCCTCCACACTACGAGTGTGCATCACATTATTTAGATTTCAACAATTGATGTTCAAACATTTCAATTCCTGTGCAGACACCAAGGGGGTGTATAACAGTAGCATTTCAAAATGGACTTCCTTTCGAACAACAGCTAGTTGTTCTACATTCGCCTCTGAACGGGGGAAGAGGTCAGCCGCAGGAAGTTGGTAGTGCCCACCTTTGTGAGATGGAGCTCATTTCCATCTGAATGAACTGAATCCCCTGTGTGTTCAACTGGGAATCAAGTGCCTAAATCAGAGAAATACCACTTCTTGAAAGAGTACTGGGCTGTGATGACGCCCCTTACCGTAGCTGACATCTAGCACGGAGATAAATGAACTTGATATGAAAGACCCTTGCTATGAAAGGTGACCTTTCTAGAATGATAGACAGGCTTCCAGAGGTCATTGCAAAGGCAAGATATAATCATTTTTTTAATTGATTCGGGTTCGATTTATTTTACTATTCAGGTGGACAAATGTTCCCCTTACACTTTACAATTATTACTATTGTAAGTAGTAAGTAAGTAAGTAAGTATTTATTTATATACCGCCTTTTCACTGCAGATCTGAGTCTCAAAGCGGTTTACAATTGTTAATTTTTGGGCATTTGTCTCTCACTCCACACAGAGATGGGAGCGCGGTCGCCAGTACAGGAGGCGCATGCTAGAACTATTGGACATATTTTTAGTGGTAGGGGAAACCGGAGTACCCGGAGGAAACCTACGCAGACACGGGGAGAACATGCAAACTCCACTCAGAAAGGCCCTGGTCCGACCGGGATTCGAACCCAGGACCTTCTTGCTGAGAGGCGAGAGTGCTATCCACTCAGCCACCGTGCCACTCTATTGTGAAATATTCTCTTAGTTTATTGTATTTTCCAGGCCATCATGACTCGGTTTGATCCTGTACTGAGGAGCCAAGAAGGACTTCTTGCAGCAGACACTGGTCCCAAGTTCAAACTTTGCGAGAAGCTTCTGATGACATAGAGCCATAATATTGTTCCAGCTGCTGCCAACGCTGATGTGTCCCACTCCCAACTGCCAGAAAGCTGAAATGGACTTTTTTTGATTTTGAGAACCAGCCCACGTAAAGAAAAAGAGGTAACAGATTGTTTGAGGTCAGGGTTTGAGCTAAATGTCTTCCCAAATAAAATAAAAAGATGTATATGAATTACAACACTCCACCTGTGTCCAGTGCACCGATAGAACAGCTGTTCAATTTAGGTGGACTGGTGCTTTTCCCCAAAGGAAACAGACTTTCCGATATGAAATTCCAAAAACTACTGGTTCACCTCGTCAGGGAGGTCAAAGTATGACCGGACCATTTTGTAAGAGTCCATCCATCCATCCATTTTTTCCCCTTAATCCATTTCTTGGTTGGGAGGGTGGCAGTCAGAGCTGCACCCAATTCACAGAGCACCAGCCCCTAAGAGTCTGTCACAGTAAAGTTATTATTATTTTGTGATGTTTACAGTACATCCATTTTGGAGACTGACTTTTTTCTGTTTAAAGTTCCCATACTACACTTTATTCTTTAATCTAAGTTTATTCACTTGTCTGAAATGACTATGTACTGGTGAAAGCTGAACAGAGTGTGTGTTTACAAAGTTAGCAGGAGGCTAGGTCAACCTGCGGGTGGGGGGAGGCGGCCTCAAATTTTCATCACATATGTGGATAGGTTGGACTGAGAAAAAAGAAAAATTGTGCAAAATGGGACCTTTAAATAATTTAGCGGAGTCTTGGCTACTTTAGTAATTTACTTTTAAGTTAATGTTCTGCCGTTCGAGCCAGTTTTGAATTTTTTTGCAGTTACCCTTTTATTTAAATTAATTTAATAAAAAAAAAAAATCATACAGACATGATTCTGTCCTCTTTTTTTGTGACACAAAGTAATCCAAAAGTAATGTAAATAAGTTACTTTCTTGCAGCACGCAATGTTAGAAGTAACTACTAATTTGTAACTAATCCCATTTTCAAAGTAACATAGACCCCTATGACTGCGGACCCTGTGACTGTAGATCCCTGTGACAGCTGACCCCTGTGACTCTGGACCCCTGCAACTGTGGACCCTTGTGGCCGCGCCCCTGTGGAGGCCCCTGCGGAGGCCCCTGCGGAGGCCCCTGCGTCACATCAGGCAGCGCAGGTTTGGAGCTCTGTCAGCTTTGGCACTTCCGCTCTCGTGAATCATTATTTACGTTTGTGACTCTTCCAGATGGTCGAGCGCTGAGTAACTCCTCACTCTTCCCCAATTAAAGCCCGCCTCACACGCCGCATCCAAAACGCACGCCTCACATCAAAGAGAAGCGCCAACATCTTGCGAGGGACATTTGCCAATCTGGATGAGAGCAGACGATGGCTGGAACTAAAATGCTCCGAATATGTCTGCTGGAAATGTTAAAAATAATTGAGAAACGTGGGACTGATATTTAGAACTTATTTATGTTCCAGGCTTCGCTTTGAGCTGCCAGGAATGTGTTATAAATTTGTTAAGTTTATTTTCCAAGCCGTAAAAATTTGCATCTGTATTGTGGACAAATGCACAACAACGCGGAAAGCTGTGGGTTTAATTCCAGCGCCGGCCTTTCTGTGTTTGTTCACCCCATGTCAGGATCATACTCCGTCTAATAGGAGTGGACTGACCGAGTGTGACATCACCATACTGTTAACCTCAAATCCAATTCAAAACTGTGTGACCTTCAAACGCAGGGGTTCCTTGGGGAAAAAATCCAAGATGTTGTTGCTGTTATTCTTTATATTTCATATTGACATCAGCCGCAACATGTATACGGTCTGTGGGTGTGAAGGTGTTGACTGCCAGATTAGGTTATGCTTTCACGTGGCCTCGGTCCTCGTTCTACAGACTCAGTCCTGAATCAACAGCCTGACTCCTAGATCTAAAGCCCGTGAGGGTGCAGATCCCTGCCTCAATGTGGGCCTCCCAGAGGATTCTCCTTTTCTTCCACTCTGTTTTTAGAGTTATTCCTTACCGATGCAGTGGGGTGTAAGGACAGTGGTGATAATCCAGGACACTCAACATTCAACAACATTTACTAACATTTATGGACATTGGTCATCCCTTATGGACCAATGCATTTCTCGTTTGAACTGTTTGATTCTCTGATCTGTGTTGATGAATCAACGGTTTTGTTTAGTCTTCGAAGATAACTACTGTTGTGATTTAAGGCTGAACAAAGATAAGTTTAATTGAACGTAGCAGACATGGCACCCTCCCCTTCCTGCATGTGTTCGACAGACGTTCTGAAGTCTTAATGGTGGTGCAGAGGTCCTCATGTTCATTTACCGCTGCACACTCGACCTCAGACCTCTGCGACAACCCACTCGCTGTCCCTCCTTCTCTCGCCACTCCACGGAGCGTCAGCGGATCCTCTCAGCGCGCACTTGACATTTCTCAATGAAGAGGAAATACGACATCTATTCAGTCCACAAGGCTGCAAACACTTGGGTCAATTTCATCTAGATTGAGAGATAGTGAAAAGATCACAACAAAGGAAAAACCAGGTTTATCTTCAGTCCTGCACCGCAATGCCTCAGTCCTAGATCTTCAGCCAGTCCTGAATCTACAGCCTCAGTTCTGGATCTCAAGCCTCAGTCCTGAATCTACAGCCTGTCCTATCATTGTCCTCATAAATGTCCTTACATTAATGAGCATTTCTGGACAGTGGTCATCCCGCTGTCTATGGACCAATGGCTCTGTGTTTTTCATTATTGCATTTCCTGTGTATGAACTTTTTAATCTGTTGTTGGTGAATCTACAACTTTAAATATTTCCCTGAGACGACTGCTGTTGTAAATCAGGGCGATTAACATAAATAAAGAATTGTTTTCTAATATGATAAAGACAACATGCAGTGGATTGATTGATTTCCACAAAAACAATATCTACGTACATTCTGAACAAAATATGTACCTACCTTTAATGATTGATTATTGCTAATTGACCAGCCACGTTTTTCAACATATGGACAAAGATGATGCATGCAGACTGATCTGTTACCAGGTAGACTGACAATTTGTTCACATTCCAGCAGTTCTGGACCATCCAATCTCAGAAAGGAGCTGAGGGAGACCATGGCTGCTGCAAGTCGTGATGGAGTGTTTGAACAGATAAATGACCTCAACCCACAAAGAGAAACGAATGAGCACCCGTTGTTGACATATGTGATAAAGAATCTGATTCTGTCTCTTTCTGTGTGCCTCAGGGGTCCGTTTTTGGCCCCCTCCACTTCACCACTTACCTTCCACAATGAGCTGGGAGACGTATGGAAACTAGAGCACTATCATCTCCTTTATGTTGATCTGTCATTATAGCATGGACATTGGGTGAATAGCATTGCTATTCACCCAATGTCCCATTGTCTGCTTCATGTCTCAATAGTGGAAGCCCTGGATCCTGGACCCTCCGACCCCTGCTGGTGTCCCTCTCAATAGACTTTCAATTAGTAGTAACATTGTTTTTTAAGCTGAATCCTGGATCTACAACCTCAGTGCTGAATTTACATCCTCAGTCCTGGACCTACCGCCCTATTAGAAAACATGTTATCTTGTGTATACTTGTAATAAAGAGCCCTCAATTCAATTCTTACATTAAAATGTTCTGCTGGCAATAGCAGATGCATTTTGAACACCAAAAGCTGTATGTCATTTTTCTTATCTACATTTATATACAAGTGTAAACTACATCAGACTTTGCATTCAAAAGATATAACACAGAATGTGGGCACTTTTGTAACTTTTGAGTGCCTCAGTGTTCTGTCAGAATTAAATAAATCACTTTCCAAAATGTTTTTTACCTTTGGCCTTGTGCTGCATAAATAAATCAGATGTCCTCCCAGCTTGCAATACTACGGGAGCTAGTTAGGTTCTCTTGTGAGTGTTTTTTTTTGTTACGCTGGTATCATGTTATTTCATGATACTTTCATGAAATAACATGATAAATATCATGTTATTTCATGATAGCTGTCAGCTTCTTCTGATAAATTGTTATAAGGAAAAGCATGATAGTTGTGTATCATGAAATAACATGATAGTTGTGTATCATGAAATAACATGATAAATTGGTATCATGAAATAACATGATAAATTGGTATCATGAAATAACATGATAGTTGTGTATCATGAAATAACATGATAGTTGTGTATCATGAAATAACATGATAGTTGTGTATCATGAAATAACATATTTATCATGTTATTTCATGAAAGTATCATGAAATAACATGATAAATTGGTATCATGAAATAACATGATAGTTGTGTTTCATGAAATAACATGATAGTTGTGTTTCATGAAATAACATATTTATCATGTTATTTCATGAAAGCATCATGAAATAAGCATTATCATTTTATTTCATGAAAGTATCATGAAATAACATGATACCAGCGGGAAAAAAACACACTCACAAGTGAACCTAACAATTCCGTACAATACTTTCTTTCTCTCTGGAACCGTCCAAAGGAAAATAATATCCACTTGTATTTCCCAAAGTATAATCCATTCTGCAGAAATAATCCAAAAATGTGCCTTTATCTTTAGCAAAAAAAACAAAACAAAAAAGAGTACAGATGTTGCTTTTCACCAAAACAACTGGTATCCACGTGTTCCTTAGTTCCTTATCTTTCAAATGAGACTATTCCCGAAGAGCTCGGAGCATTTTTGGGTCCGCAACAGCTCCCGGGAGTACGGCTAGCGGCTGCAGTTTGCGCATGGGTCACTGATCTTGGTTGTCTTCCCTACTTCTTTGCATCTATTTCCTGGCTGTTTGATTGACATGTCCGTGTAGCCAATGAGGAAAGCTTTCGAGCAAGGGGTGGGACAATGGTGTCCTGTCTTATTTTGTGCCTGTAGAATAGTGCGTAATGGCAGTCAAAAAACGCTCTCAAAGCTGCAATTAAATTACAATCATAAAAAATTAACTTTGACATTTAAAAAAAACAAAAAAAACACATAGATTAGTAACTTTTAAGTACCGATAATAAAAAATATAGTCTTTATGAGGATTAAATGTCAGTAAAGCAATTGTGCCAAATTGTGCATGAAAAGGAGAAACTGCATAAAAACTATAAAACTTAGAAGTCTGAAACTTTAGACAGTTTTTGTCAACAACACAATGAACATAGGGTTTGAATATTGTGAACTTACAATGAAGTATGCCTTTTTTAGGGCCTTTAGAAATTGAAAATTTTAGGCGAGGCTAAAAAAAATGTTTTTTTTCCCAAACTTCAAAGGATGCAGCGTGAAATAGGAATGACAAACATTATTTTAGTGTATATTTACATAAACTAGAAGGCTCTAGTTTTAATATGATGCATCACACAAGCATGTGAAATGTCAGCTGTGTTTTTAAATAAGCAAAGACATTTGGGTATGCCCAACTTTTGTGCACAAGCCAAAATGAGGCGGGTGTTATCACAGAAGTAGTAATCGCAGAGGACTTATCAAAACCATTGAAATCACCAACACAGATCAGAGAATCAAACAGTTAAAATTAGGGCTGTCAAAATTATAATTGTTAATTAAATGTTTCCTTAACGCGTCAAAGTTTTTTTACGGGTTTAAAGTGTATCATGTCCGAATGACCCGCCCATGTATCCCATAATATCACTCTGAATGCCGCGGACACGTGTGTGTGAGATGGTACAGAGCCGATAGTCCCTCTGGGAATTCAAGTTTTAAAAGAATTTGCTTGGGACCGCGGGGCACTTGCTGTTGTTTGCTGTATGAACTGAAGTCCGCATCCTCTGTGGCCGCAGTGTTCTGACCTGGGGCAGCTGCGGCCGCTCTAGTTGTTGTTAGCTGGCTGTGAGCCAATTTTAATCGTTTTTTTCTTTAATAAAATATACTGTGAGAGACGGCAAAAAATATGTAAATTGGAAAATATAGTGAGGACTGAAAATGTTTGGAGCGCTAAACTCTTTTTAAAACCTGAGTTGGGTACCCGAGCGTTAAGAATCAACAATAGCTGTATGACACTTTGTCATGTTGCTAACTTGTGAAGATGTGTACATACAACTATATATTACAATTAGGGCTGTCAAACGATACATTTTTTTTAGTTGATTAATTGCATAGTAATGGTGAGTTAACGCACGATTAATCGCATTTTTAACATTCTATTTCAAATCCACTCCAATCAAAGTTAAATGAGATTTTCAAATGTAATGACACATTGTTATTCATACCAAATGTACTTCAATCTGTTTGACTTGCTCACAACCTTCTACTTTTGGGTACAACCAACAAGAGCTGTTAATGAAAGGGAAAATGTAGGTACCCCAGCTTTAATTTTGCAAGTTTGGTTGCATTTCAGCGTGTCTCCTCCTCCGTGTGTCACACAACATCAGAGAATGGCCCCTTTGCGTGTATATATATGCGTGTATTATATGACCACGTTACCGCTGTCACCATCAGACACACGCGTACGTGTCCGCGGCATTCTGAGTGATATTATTATAAATGGGCGGGTCATTCGGACATGCGATTGACTGCCAGGCTATTTCAGAACAGGTACTTCCATATTGCCAGCCGTTTCTGATGATTTTTACTGAATTTTCAAGACCCACAGAATATTGTGTATTATGACTATTTGAAATCCAAAACCAGATTCTGAAAGAATGGACTGTCTACTTTCATCAGCAAAAATAATTTTCTTTCTAGCTTGTTTCGTTCCCCTTTAATCCCCAGTCGAGTAGAGGTAAGTTTCATTGAAATCCCCAGAAAGTGCATCTAGCTGTTTTCAAACCATGCAACAAGGAAGAGAATGTGTTTCGGGACCAGATTGTGACCAATTACAGCGGACCACTGGCCCCCGCTTTCTTGAAAAAAGCCACAGGTCTCTCGTTACCACAGACAGCTGAGGTAAACAAGCGGCGGAGGCTAACCTGAAACTTGCAGTGACTTCCTTACCGGTTACTGCTTACACAACAAAAAAGCCATCCAAAAGAAAGTCTCGTTCCTCCGCGCTTCCCGGGTCTATCATTCTATGGTCACGCCAACCACGTTCAAATGTGCGATCCATATTGTGAGACATGAGCTCCGTAAACACATAAGCACAGGCTAAGGGGCGGGGGGGATAGTGGGGGGTGATACCTCCGTGAGTGCGGGGAGGGCAAGCAGAAAGAGCGAGGCCAGTGCTCAGATTAGAAAATTTCACAAAGTGAGTTAGTGCAGCTTTAACCGAACAAACCTCCGCCAAATTATCTCTTTTCAAAATCCCCAAACCAGCTCCACACTCCACCAGAACAACGGGGCACAGACTTTATATGAAAGTTTCGTGTGTTTCCGCCCACGCCAGCCTCCCGCCTCCGTCTGGCCGCTTGCCTCTTGTGTGACGGTCAGCGGCGGTCAGTGGAGGTCAGCGCGCCGCAGCAAGACTCGTGCTGC